GGGTTGACCATCTTACCACCTTGGTGGTGTCCAAGGAGAAACATAAGGACGCTCGATGATGGGTTAGTTTGTCACGAATCGCTCATGGTAAATGTCAGAGCTCGTTTCCGTCACAAGAAGAGCTCGATGCAGCWGTAAGATTAATAACACGCAAAAAAAGATTTAAACACGTTATTGTTCACACAGAGCCTGGAGCCTTAACAACGCAGCACCAAAAATTTGATCCAAAGCAGTGCTTTTTTCCCCCTCCACCCAGCTGTGGAGTCATGCATTGCAGCAGACTAACACTCATATCACATTTTGTTGGCAGTAAGAAGATTAAATTCTTCTCGGAGCATCGCTGCAATGTGACCTTTTTCTGTTCCTTCCTCTGCGGGGCCTGCATGCGCGCGTGCACTTCAAGGACTTCCACAGCTGATGTGACCAAAGTGATGCCTCAGAGTGGCAGCTCTCCTGTTTTATTTATTTATTTTTTTAAGCACGCTTTATTTGTTTGTTTGTGTAACAGAGCTGCACAAAGCATCTGCTGCAGATTTTCACTTCCTGCGCTCAGCTCTGGATTATTATTCACCACAAAACATCAAAGCCAAATATGCTGCCTGCCATATTTGTTGTAGTTCTGAACGATGCAGCCTCTTTTTCTTTTTCTTTTTTATGTTTTTGATTTGTAGACAGATGCATTCACATCTCCTGATKGAAAACTCCTGTTTATGATCTACAGAAACAAAACGTGCTTGTTGTGTTTAGGTGGAGGAGCAGATGTATGCAGATCTTCTGCTTTCATAACATGAAATTTCTCCGAAGTTCTCTTTGGTCACAGGCATTAGGTCAGTGGCCTAATGATAAAAACAACTCTGTTTTAAAAAATATATCTCAATTTATGATTATTCTTTGTGTAAAGTAACAGTAAAAAAATTAAGTGGGATTATGAGGAAAATAAACAAATAATGTCTTACCTGTTGATAATAGTTTATTGAGTGACCTAAGTGTAAAGAAATAAAGTTTACGACTGGGGGCAAAAATATTCTAAAATAAGATACAAATTACACTCAGTAGTTTTTGTTCCCTCTTACAAGTGATTATTGACTGATGGCAACTACCACAAGCTTTTATTTACCTACGGAAGAAGCCGAAGTGGCTGAAAATAAAGGTCATCAATGACAATGTCCATTGAAGGATAGAGAAGTCTGACAATTTTGAAGTTGTACTGTTTTAAACTAAGTTTTGTTTGAGTAAAGAACGTWAAAAAGTGCTTTGTTTACATTGAGTGTGCACATGCATCCTAAAGTTCCACCTATTTATTTTCTTTTTACACGCTGTTGCTTTCAGGGTTGAGGGGAGGTTGGTGCCTGTCATTGTTTGAGGCAAGGTGCTCTCTGGACAGCACCCTGGAAAAGTCCATCACTTGGACAAATAGAGACAAATGAGACAAACGAGAAAAACACTTCACACTCTCACACAATGTAGAGCTGCCGGTAAACTTAAAGGACCTGTTACATTATAACGTTAGACAACTTATGCTGGCTTATGAAACTTTTGTTATGACTATTTTACTCATATCGGCTATATATTTGATCTAATTGTTAGTTGGTCCAAAGGAAGATTCCAGTAGATCTTTTTAAAATTCCATCTTCAGCTTTGACATCTTTATTGGACAGATAAGTTGGCATAAGTTGTCTACAGTTATAGTGTGACAGGGCCTCATTAATGTTTTTTGGTAAGTGGAAGGAAACTAAAGTACTCAGAGAAAACCAAAGCATGAACGAGGTGAAAATGTAAGCTTTGCTTACAGCTGTGTTTTATAGAGGAAACTCAGAAACAGCTCTTTGTTGTAATTTAAAAGTAAGTTTTAAAATAATTAGCTTGTACTTAAATGTTTGAGTTCATGTACGGATGAAATTTAGCTGTTGTGCTAATTCCGGCGCATTTGTATTCACAGAATATTGATTAATGTGCATTGTCCTTTTAAATAAATAAATGAAATTAAATATACAACGTGCAATTTACAGTATTAGATAGTTAGTTGCTAAATAATCATACACTGAGGTATCATTTTTTTATAAATTTTATTTTGGACAGTGCAAACATATTTGATCTCAGTCACAATGAGAATATTTTATGTTTCTGTTGCTTTAGGTTTTATATTCTTTGACATTACCAAGCATATTAGAAAAACTGATAAATGTACTAATATCATTGTTTGCATCTATTTATTTCAGAGGCAAAATATGCCAGCAGCATCGGAGCCTCTCGCCCTGGTGACACGCCAGCTGATTGGTCAGACTACTCTGCCCTGCCTTTGCCTCCTTGTCTACCCTGACAGATCCATGCTGCTGGATGCTCCTCAAAGAGCCACTCCCGCACCATGAGCGCCAACGGGCCTGCCCCAGAACCCACCCCTGCAGCTCCAGAGGCCCCTCCCACCTCCACCCCAGCGCCAGCTCCAGCCCCGACGGCGCCGCCTCCTATCGCTCCACCTGCCCAGACGTCCTCCACCATACCGGTGGGTGCTTTGGCACAGAAGAAGCGGCAGCAGTATGCCAAGAGCAAGAAGCAAGGGAGTAACGCCAACAGCAGGCCACCCAGGGCTCTTTTCTGCCTCAACCTTAACAACCCCTTACGCAGGGCCTGCATCAGCGTAGTGGAGTGGAAGTATCCTTTGCTGCCATGTTGGGATGATGACTGAGCTTCTGTAGCTCAGATCAGTTCTTCCTGAAATCTCAAAATGACAAATCCAAAATGCTTCGGAAATTACTAGAAAAAAAACACAACTCTGTTTTTTTTTTACCATTATTTAACCAGGCAAGTCCCATTGAGATCACAGATCTTTTGCACGGGAGGCCTGGAGGCAACCTATTGTACATATTTTTGTGCTGTGGGGGAAACCGGAGTACCTGGGGAAAACCCATGCAAGCACAAGGAGCACACGCAAACTTCGCACAGAAAGACCCCAGGTCCAAACTGGGGATTGAAACCAGGACCTTCTTGCTGGGAGGCAACAGTGCTAACCACTGAGCTGTCATTCTGCTAAATTTGCAAACTAGGGCTGGGTGGTATGACCTCAAATTCATATCACGGTATAAATTGAATCCCTTCACAGTAATGGTATATATCCCAGTAGAAAATTATCATAAAAAGCAAAGATAATGTAATTTTTAAAGCATTTATTTAGCAGAAAACTGTCATCTTAATCAAACCCAGCATTTTTGCTGTAGTGCAAATGAATATAACAGAAGTACAAAAGAATGTTTTATATATACCACAAAATGGTTCCACAACAAACAAAAACATTTCTCAAATTTTCAACAATATCAAACTAAAGGGGATTTTATAACCAGTACTTCAAGTAAAATCAGTAATTTACACAAAAAAAATTCTAGGTTGGCATAATTTGCCTAAAATGTTAGTGTGACAAGACCTTAAGGGGCTTAAGCATGCACATAGTCCTAGTCATAAAACAATTTCAGATAAATGGAATGTAAGTGTGGTGAAGCCAAATAAATGTAATATCTGCCTGCCATACAATGAGCTTCTGCCTGCTGAACTTATCGGCTGCTGCTCTGCTGTACTCTCAGCAAAAGCACATGTTACATTAGCAAGATGGATTTATGACTTAATCCACATCTTTTTTTATCCTCTCTGTGGGTAACAATACGTAAAAAACAAGGTTTTTCTCTGACAAATTGGGTGTGGAAAAAAACTACGGACGTTAAAGCTTCGCTCTGTGCATGCAGCGGAAGGGAGGGAGGAAATGATTCTACGACACGACGTAACCTTTCTACAGCGGGAGTGGGAAATTTTGAGGATTTATTCTCTTTATACGTGTTTTACTTTCAGAATATTTTGAACTCCTCCTGCTCAGTTGTCTCTGCACTCGCAGCCATGTTCACACAGGTGCGGTGATGTAACTTACGACAGGACAGTAGTGGGTAATTTCTTCCGTAGGCCAACTTCATATCGTTTCTACATCTATCACAGTGGTTCCCAACCCTGGTCCTCAAGTACCCCTATCCAGCATGTTTTACTTGTTTCCCTGCTATTCAGCAGGTCTTCAGAAGATTGTTAATCACTCTTCATTCAAACCAGGTGTGTCAAATCAGGGAAACATCTAAAAATCACTGCTTTAAATGTTGACTAACACCTCAAGAGCTTCTCTGAGCTTGATGAGACATTTTCGAAATATAATATTGACTTCGATTTTTTTTGTATCGCCTCTGGAAGCCATTGATTCTTTGCCATTTATTTGTAAATAATAAATCAGATAACGTATTAAAGCAGTAATTCTCAACCCTGGTCCTCAAGGTCTAATTTCCTGTATGTTTAGATGTTTCCCTGATTTGACACACCTGGTTTGAATGAATGAGTGATTAACAATCTTCTGAAGACCTGCTGAARAGCAGGGAAACAAGTAAAACATGCTGGATAGGGGTACTTGAGGACCAGGGTTGGGAACCAGTGGTCAATTGCAAATACCACACAGCCTTATGAAAACTATTCTGACACTCTCACAAAACACTTCAAGCCCATAGAGATGCCTCCTGAACACCTTGGTGCGATTTCTGATAAAAGCCAAGGCAGCATGGCAACATTGCCGCTAACCCACTGCTTTTGCACCCTTGGAGTCACTAAGCAAGGTAGAAACAGCCATAAAAGTTGACATGTGAAAAACTAAACTGGCTGGACGTGATGTAGTCATGAGTCTGTGAGACCACCTTAAACAARAATAAACAAATTATTTCAGCGAAGATTGATGATGACACACAGTAACTGCTTTTATCTGAAGAATGTGGTGGTTAACCATAAAGAGAATAATTGAAGCTTAGTTAATCGATTGAAAGTGTATCAGAGAAAGTTTTAATGTGCAGTGCTTCATGTCAACACAGCTCAGTTCATTTCTGAAAGCTCACATCTATGAGGGATATAGCCAACCAAAATAAAGTCAAAGTCAAACCATTTTTTGTGGCAATTTCCTAACATTTTTGTGAAAGTGCCTAATAATAACGTGTAACCCCTGGCTGCAGACCATGGAACGGGGCGGGGGCAAATGATAGGCGGGGTCAGATGTCTGACCCCGCCCTCAACTCTAAAATTTACCAACCCCAGATGCTAAATTCTAAAATTAACCACTCCCGCTTTTTCAAGACTCATATTAACACCACGTTCCCGACAAGCTGTGATCACGCACATTGGACGTACGACCCAGCCGGGGGTACTTGATAATAATTGCAGAACGTTGCCATTGTAAGTCATTTGTCAATGGTAAAAAGAATTCATGTATAGAGCTGATTTAAATCAATTCAAATCCAGTTACCTGCAGTATTGTTCAGTTCAATTAATTCCAATTTAATTCAAATGTTGCAACCCAATACAATCAGGTTTTGACTCTCATTTGGTTACATACAATCTAATTCGATTTTATTGTAATCCAATTTAATACAGTCAGATTAAATTTTAAAATGCCAATTGCATGGGCACAACTGCCATAGGCACCGGGTGGGACA